GTGTGTAATTAAAACGGCTCCATCCATGTTAAAATATATTTTTTAAAATTTACTAAACTAAACAGCGTATTTTTGGTCTTTATTTTACAGTTAAAATAAATGTTTATCAAATAAAGTCTAATGTTACAACTAATCAGGGATGCCTTTTAAAGCAGCTTAGGAGGAAAGTCAGTTTGCAGTAGAAAAATGTTCATGTTTCTGTAAGTTTTGCTGGTATAGGATTACTATGAACAAATGATTTCCCAATTTTATCAGATATCACAATGAACCACAGAAATATTAAAGTAACTTTAAAGAATWTTACTTAAGACAGTTTAGAAGCAGGACAATCATTTCACTTCAGCAGCACATTTAATTAACATTAGACTTAAACATAAACCGTGTTCACTGGACTTGGTGGCAGTTTTTATTTTGCCACATTTGTCCCATCAGCAGAACAAGGTCTTTATCTTTGTAGCTGAATATTTACTCGACGTCCTGTCTCTAGATAAATAAGTAATTCATAAACTGGTTACCTGCGCCTCACGTCGGTGAAACACTTCCAGGTTGTTCACCGAGGCTACCAAGCAGAAGCGGTTCCACTTGGTGGATTTAATGTGCATGACTGTGGCTCCAGGGAGACCAAATCGTTTCCTCCTGATAACCGACGTCCAACAGGACGACGAGACGCTCCTCGCAGGTGGAAAGAGCGACGAGGATGAAGGAGGTGATGAAGAGGAAAAGGGGAATCTGGGGGGTCGGAGGAGCGTTGCCTTTCCCAGGGTGGCAGCCGAACAGGAAGACGCTTCAGAAGTGGAAGAACTGAGTCTGCTGCAGCTGGACCGTCTCCTGATCTGTGGTMCTTTTCCTCTTTCGTCCTCCCAGAGACACGAGCTGAGAGATACTTGGCCTCACGCAGTCTGCCGAACCCAGATCTCAAGGTTAAAAAGGTCGTGTTGCTTTCGTTTGCGTCTCAGAGCCTGGTCTGCAGCCGTCTGGAAACTGAAGGAATTTTCCAGAGATCTGGGTGTGGAGAGCTGAAAATGTCACTCAGCTTCCTCTGAGCTCTGACTACAGCCGTTCAAATGAGCCCCTGCCAGCCGGTGACGCATCACCCCCMCTCCCMGTCCCCCCCACGTCTCATTGGTACCGACAGCCAGTTAAACATGGAAGACGGGGGGGAGGGACAGCTTCATTTTTTATGTTACAGACCAAAGCTGACTAATCACAGAGCAACAAGGAGACGTGTGTGTGTGTGTGTGTGTGTGTGTGTGTGTGTGTGTGTGTGTGTGTGTGTGTGTGTGTGTGTGTGTNTCCGAACCAAAGACCCTGAAAACAGGACTAAAAATAAAACATCTCAGAAAAGACGTGAATAAATGAAGGACAGAGAAGACTAAGCTTGAATAAACAGAACGAGCACACAGAGGGTTTAATGCTACCAATGGAAAGTATGCAGTTTGATAAGAGGTATTAATAGCAGAGAGCTTCAAGTGGAGGAAACTGTTGCTGGAGGGAAAAACAGGCCGTACAGACGACATCATCAGCTCGATGGTGGTTAAAGGGTGTTTCCATTCAGTCCGTTCTTCAACAGAGAGAAAGATTTTTCACAAGTCTTTCTGGGAGTGGACGACTCGGCAAAGTCACCCCAAGGTCAGACTGTGCAGTGCTCAGAGACGTGAGCTCCACGTCAGACTGTACAGGCCTCTGTTAGCAGGTCAAAGGTTAAAGGTCATGGCAGGACAAATACAAAAAGACTGAAGGGTCTTTGGAAGGCTCGCAGCAGAAAAACATCTCTCTAAAAAAG